GTCCACCTTAACTCTTTTCTTTACAACAAGGCTTTCAAATAAATCATGGTTGTACGGCAGTGAAGCATCAGTGTTGAACACTGATGTCATCCTGTCTATGATGATGTTGATGATGATAGGTGTTCAGATGTCCTCGTAATTCTTGTTACTGGCCTATAGTAATCGCGCACATAAAAGGTTACAGGGTAACGAAATTCTCAGACGATTCGCTGATCTTTCCTTCATTTATACCGGCTTGCGCTCGCGGGGTAGTGACCTTGTTGCAGCCATGTTGTTATCCTGGTCACAAATCCTTCAGAATTCTGTAGGCACCAGTCGCCGTAGGTCAATTTCGTAAGAGCGGAGAACCTATTGGTTATCCTGTAAAGGAAGCGCGAATTGATCAGTTTGATTAAATACATTCAGGTGAACTAGGTCGTTTTGAGATACTCACTTGAAACAGCAAGGCTTTGTACATCAGCTCCTGTAGTGAATAGTCCGGCAAACCATGGACGGTGCTTCATTCGAAATCTCGTGAGATTTCGGGAAAGCACCTAATTCTGTCGCGGGATTAGTAGGAAGTCTTTTGTATCACGCTTAGGCAACAGGCAACTGATTCAGGTCACGTGCCACCAACAAATTCGGTCAATACGTTCAAACTGCACGTTCAGTTAAGACTGGTTGGTATGTACGAGCAATATATCTGAAGCCATGTAAGTTCATCCCTTATCTTAATTGTCCTGCTGATAACATTAAGACGAATTCTTCCAGAATTAAGCAGCTAAGTTCCATTGTAACTTCCGAAGAATGATCTCACATTTAATGAGTGTGCTTAATCAGTCACACAGAGTGATTTCTATGAAACTCCTCTATTCTCCTGAAAAGTTAACTAAGCCTAGATTAGCAAGCCAATTACCATCCATCTTTACAACCTGAGTTGCTAATATTCTCTTCGATTGCAAACACAAAACTCTAGACACAATACTTTGTGGATCAAGCAGCCACGTAAGCCAGACTTTCTATGGCCTACAACCTGCACTTTAATGAACCAAAATGACATTCGGCACTACTCTGGTCCACCTCCTGGTCGTATGTCATAAAATCTCGATCCAGTGGGGCACAAGAACATTTGCCACTGTTAAAAAACGGTTGATACGACCGACGGATTCCTGAGAGCTCTGGGGCGAAGTACCCATCATCTTTGTCACAAACTAAATTCAGTCCGATGAGCCGTTCATACGAGAAACCCTCGACCCTGATAAACTTCTGAGAGAGACGCGGTGAAGGGATGGTAACCAAGACTGTGACCTGACTGGTTTTTCACACATTGAACGGTCAATGTCTGAAAATGAAGGTAGTAGGCGCTGAGGGTTTCTTTCATTACCGCACACGAATGATCAGGTTATATTACTTGTATACTATTGTTAGAATTGGGATTAAAACAACATTTGTATAAAATGTCACATGATCAAGTCTTTTTAATTACAATGCCAGCTTGTTGAGTTTTTAGCCACTTGGGCTTCTTCAAGTTCCCTGGGGGGTTGGTTATACGCAATCACGAACTCCCCCCACAGCTACACCTCCCTCCAAGATGCACCCTGCTCGATGTTTCTGTACCAGTGTTACTGAAATCGGCACGAAAGTTTAGGTGTGCAAGTCCGAGGTGTTTTTATCACATATTTGCTGCACCAATAGCAGGAAGGGGTAGGGTTGAAACGCTGTCGCTACGGCACTATAGTACAATTCAAGCTCTTGATATATGTAAGAGGTATGTATTGGTAGTGTGATAAAAGTTGGGAATCCTCAAAGAGATATTGTCTTGTCAATTGAGCGATTCTACATTGAGAGCTTGAGAAACACTGAACAGCTGTGTTCATCGTTTTTCTGAAACATCAGCAGTGCGCAACTTACAAAACTCGAATTCTCGGTTTCCTGGTTGATTCTAGAAAGACTAGGCCAAAGTGCAACAAACAGCAGATCAGCCGTGGGATTAGTTCGCACTTAGGATATAACGCTGCTCCTCTTTCAATCACGGCATCCGCATCACGTGATCATAAATAGTGACTAACGGTTGACGACTTTTCACATCGAAATTTCACTCCTCAGATGAATTTTATTCTTCATTTGAGTTACTTTCAGATGGCTAGTAGTGTGAATAGATTTAGGAACCTCCCCTGCTAGAAGCAAGTTCGTGGATTTGAGACGCTCTAAACTGTCCTGACGTGCACACTTTCCACCCGAATTGGGAAGGCCAGAGCAGATTTTGTCAACCTGCGTCACCTGTGGCATAGTCGTGACATCAGCTTCTCTGTCAAGGGTCGAGTTTACAATGCTGCGGTACGCTCCATATTACTATATGGATCAGAAACCTGTTCGCTGCACGCCGAGGACGTCAAAAGACTTTCAGTGTTTGACAGTCGATGTCTTCGGAGCATTGCCCGAATCTGGTGGGAACACCGGATCAGCAATTCTGAAGTACGTCGAATGGTATTCGGGAGAAATAACTCACCCTTGATAGATGAACTGATCACACTGCACAGGTTGCGCTGGCTTGGCCACGTGCTGCATATGCCAGTCGAAGGAATTCCTCGAAGGGTTCTTTTCGCACAACCACGTGACGGGTGGAATAGAGCCAGAGGCGGTCAAACAATGACTTGACAGCGAATTGTGATAGGCATTACCAGTAAACTCAGTAAAACTACCCTCTTCCTGGATGGGGACCCCCAGACGGTCCACATCAATGGCTGGAGACATTGTCAAACATGGCCCAGTTGCGCCCTCAATGGTGCTCGTGCATCAAAGCTATTGCCTTCAATGCATAGCTCCTATTCAACCCCCCCTCCCCGCACTTGACAGTCCACTGACAGTGGTGTACGTACGAATTTATCAGCTCCAATGCACAGCTATCTATCCTATCTCCGCATATCATCGGTGAACGAAACTGTAACAGCTACAACTACTGTACGACAAATACGCGGTTCTTACAGCTGACAGTGACGATGATGATGATGATATTGATGATGATGATGATGAAATAATGAACATACTCTTCACCCTTCGGTTAATGTTCATCCATCGCCCGAACCAGGCCCCCTGCAGTACTCACGCACTACTATCGTTCTTTTTGGGACAGAACTTGATGAAAACAAAGGCATTCTCGTTCACACCACGTTTTAGTTTTAATACTAGCGGTGACTTTCTGCCAGCAGGTGACAGATTGCATCAGACACACAGTTTACAAGAGTGTCATTGAATTGATCAGCTTGAAAAGGCTACTGTTGCTCGTGATCGGGTTTGAACCAGGGCTGCAAGTTGACTCATCTGACATATTCAAGTGGTGGAAGAGAAAACCAGGTCTTAATTAGGCTACCGGTGGGAATGTTTGAACGGAATTACCCAGATGTCTCACCCTTCTACTCACTCTTGCGCAGAGGCCTATTTTCGCTCCAGCCATAGTAATCGCGGACATTTCAGATAGTCATTCTAGTCCGGTCATTAATCTGCTCATTGCACAAGCTTAGATAACATCTCGTCGAATCTGATTGGTTTGTTTTGCGCATGCATCAAGTGAACTACTTTACTTCTCTGGTCGATTAACATATTCACCTGCATTTTGTGTAAGTGAGCCTTGCAAAAAACCTGAAAACCCTCTTGTTTCATCAGTAACAAGCAACGTTGTCCCAGCAAAACAACAGTAACATGTTGTCTTCTATGAGAACTGAAAAGAGATCATTGTCAGAACCAACAGTATGTGGGCTTTGATCCACTAGAATTAGGCGAATGAATCACACTCAAAGCTTGGGCGCAAAGGCTTCAACTGGGTGTTGACCCGGTAGGAAACCGTTGGTTAGTTACATTACGAGCTCCGACCTTATCTACGACGTTTCATTTTCACTTACATTATGTGTACCAATGTCTACATACGCATATGTATGGATGAGAGGCTATCAAGCGTGAGGGATCGAAGGCCACATTTTTCAAGGTGACCTCTCTTTAGGAGTCCACGTTTATGTTGAACAACCTTCTTTTTAAAAATGACGCTTAGTCATTGGATTAACAGCTATTCAACCTTGTATGCTCCCAGCTGTCATAAGTTGCTAATCAATTTTGTTCGCTGTTAAATCCAAATTAGTCTAGTCTACTTGATGCACCATCTGTGTTCCCCTTTCTGACTTGTTCGCACAGCACTATGGACCGCAAATTATTCACCCTGTTCACCTTCATTGAACAAATGCAGGAGAAGTACATACACCGACTACGAGAATTCGTGGCGATCAAAAGTATATCTGAAAGCAAGGCCAATCGATTAGACGTGGTTAAAGCCTTGAGATGGATCGCCTTCCGATTAAAAAGGTAGGTTTGAGATGCACTTTGGTGGAAGTATTCCCATCACAGCTATGCTGCTTCAGTATGGACTATGTCAGTGAGTTCCTTCTCAGAAGTACTTTGACAAATGTACGGGACGGATGATAAACGGCTAACCTGTAGTGCACCGCCAAACATACTGGGAGTATTGGAGGCGTGTAAGGTTGATTTGAGCAATACCGAAGGAGGCGGCCTTAGTTGATTTGGTTTAATTAGAGCTATCCGAGTTTGTCGGTTGTTAAGGGAACTGTACGCATCTTACTTGCTACCAGAAAACGTGCACCAGAACAAAATTGCAAAGATGTATTACACTACTCATAAGGTTGCTGATAACTCTTCGACAGCCCATGACCGGTTTCGCCCTTCTGCTTTGGGCTCATCAGGTAGGCGCAGTCCCTGAGTTTCCGTCAACCTTATGATCTACTTGAACGCAAATTGCACTGTTTTCGAGAAATACACTACGTACTAAGTTGATTTTGATGTCAGGCTCACCTGAATCTTTCGCTTTGGATGTTGTTAACCAGAGATTCAGCTGAGTTCCAGGTGAGTCTCCCGTAATGACCAAATTAGCAATACGAAGAAATCGTTTCCAGTTCTTACGAGTGTTTAAAATGAGCGAAATTTGGTGACACATCTAAACCAGCTGTAGCTGACAATGACCTGGTCAGTTTGAGCTTCTGACTAGTTCTATGTAGAATACGATGGGTGGTCAATCGACTTAGGGCTTTAAAACAACGGCCTGTCGCCATCACAGAATATATCGAGCCTTCAACGCTATTAGTTCCTATCAAGCACAGAGCAGATCGACCACCCTGCAAAGCAAAGAAGAGATAAGTGCACTCAATGCTATATATATATATATAATGTATATATATGATAGTAGTGACTAAACCTGAGCTCTTGCTCCACTGTGATACGGGAGTATCAAAGCCACAGTGTACTAGGTGTTGGCAGGTGTACAGAACAAGCACGTGCGACAGGATCATTTCTAGGACGCTTTCACAGACCTTGTCAAACGGCGAGTTGAAACAACACCAACCTCGGTATGACCAGTCGTAGCGATCACTGGCCCGTCAAGGTGTGTAGACCGCTACAGCTAGTTCCGCAAATACATTTCAATCGTGAATCCTCGATTCAGGCAAGACGTATCACTGGAAAGAGAGCCCGCTAAAACATTCTGTCATCCTGCTTCCTTTAGAGTGAAAAAGTGAAAACAGTTAGGCATTTAGATCTTACGACTGATACCAAAATATCCATGACTGTGGTTTTCACGTGACGTGTGTATGTTTCGGCTAGTGGGGTGTGAGCCCCGACGAAGCTGAAGGTCCTTGTAGAATGGCTCAAGAAGAGATTACTATCAACGGGATGAGGTCAACAAGTAGAACGACTATGTGAAGTGGAAAAATGGAAGGGCCAGTTTCAGCATGTCCATTTATGAATTGGGTAACTCGACCCCTCTGGTCGCACCGAGCGGTATCGTCGCCGCGCTCACTGAAGGCTGTATCACAGAAGACTAGTGCCCCACTACCGTACAGTCATATCACTTTACCTGAATAATCCCTTGTAATGGGAAGGGGGACGTAGGGACAGCCTACAACAAACATCCGGGCACCTACACCTCCAAAACCCAATCAGACAGTCCGGATGGAAAGTGACGTCATGGACGCCACTGATAACCCTTGGATGCCATGTCTTTCAGCCTCTTGAGACAAGCATAGAGATGGTCATGAGGACCTTATCCTGGAAGATGATCAGAACCAAAATCAACGGCATCCAAACTTTTCGTAGCATCTTTCATTCCCTTTTGCTATGTCAGATTCATTCCACTCCCAGATCTCCACCATTCCGAAGTCAGCACGGAAATCAGCACTCTTCTCGGAAATCGATAACTCCGAATGGCTTACTCAACTTAGCTTGAAACTTTGGATGGATTCCTCGAGTGCAGTACCGTCCACTTAACCTAAATCCCGTTCCCTCGTCACAGCATTTCGTGCAATGAAATAAGAAAGTATTTCTAGCTTTGCAGTCGAGATAATACAAAGACGTACAAATATCGATAGCAGGATAATAAGGGCCCTGGAACAACGTGTACAGCTCGAAAACAGAATCGTAAGGGACTGATAGTTAGTAGTGACTCGACTTCCGTTTTCTGGCACTGACACAGGGCGAGATGACCCAAATGGTTAGAGCGCAGATTTACTGACCCGAGGGTCCGTGGTTCGAACCCGACTTCTGCCTCTCGACTTCCCCTGTCTAGGCTTGGGCAACCTAGCAGTATCACAGCCCTCGTACAACCTTCGGGTGGCATGGCAGTTGGGTTCCGAAAAGTTGTAAATGGTTATGTTGATCAGGCTGCTGTTTATTGAAAAAAGCGGTTTTGGGATATCAGTAGTAGCTGTGTTTCCAGTGTTTCCCTGTTCTGAAGCCGGGAGCATATTATTTGGTGGTGAGCTTTCTTCGCCACTGGCATGATATATATTATACTACAGGTATTATTATACAAGTAATACTACACTACTGCGGCCGGTGTAATATCTCATCAAAGTGAACCATTGCTGTGTTTGCGTTGATAGACTCGGTGCGGATGTGCGCATGCGAAGAATCGGCAAAGAATTCATTTACACTGGAGACAACATTCCACTCACGAAAGCTGATGAAATGGAACTTCCGGACGTTGTGGTCGCCTCTCTGGGAACTGATGTCACCAAGCGAACCTTGCTTATCTATGGTCACGTGGATGTCAAACAAGTTCACGAGAGTGAAGCATGGACACACGATCCCTTTGATATGCAAGTTCGGGATGGATATTTATGCGGACGAGGGGTCACCGATGATAAAGGACCGGTATTGGGCTGGATCAATGCCGTAGAAGCTTTCCAAGTGGGTTGAATTCTACTGATTTGATGTTGTTTTGTCAGCAGAGGCAACTAGATCATCTAAAACGATCTGCTCTGAGGTATCCTGGAATGATGTTGACGCAGTTTGGTTGTACTATAGTTCTCGCAGTCTAGCCATTTTTTAGAGAGCTCTCTGTGAGGTTAAGAGAAGGAATTTCATATTTTCGCAACAAAATATTGCCATACAGAGTGGAATAACACGCCTATATCATTTTTATGTGATTGACCGATGCACTCTGCCTTCATCAGACGGTCTCCGATCAGGATCTTTGGGGAGGGTTTGAAGGAGGTCAGGGAACTGTACAAGAAATAGGACAGATTGCTTGGAATTCCTCGAATAAAATTTCAAATCAAAGTAAAGGACGTATGAGCACTGGGACCGTTTTGTTGTTATACTGAGAGTTAACGAGACTGCATCAGCGATTACATTAAATCCAAGGAGTTACCGCTAACCACGCTATTCGAACATGAGGTTGAACATGCGTGTACAGCATACTGCATTAACCCGGCAGGCATGCATGCTTCCACCAGTATGGCTTGAGCAGAAGGCAATCGATCCCGCGTTCAAATAACTGTTTTCGGCTTCACACTGTTCGCGTCATCGCTGTACCGAGAAAGTGCGTACTTTCTTGTTTTGCTCAGTTGAGGATAGCTGCCTAGCACATATTCCCAATTCATGACCAATGCCTGAGTAATATTCAACAAGATTGGGATAGTGTAGACCAACCAGTGTAATCGTACTGCAATGTGTTAGTTATTCATACTCGCCTTCGGGAGTACTATGTGCAACGCGCTTAGATGGAAAACATTTAAGCCTTATCGCACTAGTTTGTTTCACAGGATGAGAAGGATTCAGTGAACCATGCAACTGCTCTTCAGATGATTATCCTGACATTGAAGTGATTCTAACTGCTTTTAAAACAATGATTTTTTTCAACTGAAGTCGAAATCTCATAGTAGAATCTTTCAGAATGCAGGTAAATTTCATGGTATCATCGCCGGNTTTGCGTTGATAGACTCGGTGCGGATGTGCGCATGCGAAGAATCGGCAAAGAATTCATTTACACTGGAGACAACATTCCACTCACGAAAGCTGATGAACTGGAACTTCCGGACGTTGTAGTTGCCTCTCTGGGAACTGATGTCACCAAGCGAACCTTGCTTATCTATGGTCACGTGGATGTCAAACAAGTTCACGAGAGTGAAGCATGGACACACGATCCCTTTGATATGCAAGTTCGGGATGGATATTTATGCGGACGAGGGGTCACCGATGATAAAGGACCGGTATTAGGCTGGATCAATGCCGTAGAAGCTTTCCAAGTGGGTTGAATTCTACTGATTTGATGTTGTTTTGTCAGCAGAGGCAACTAGATCATCTAAAACGATCTGCTCTGAGGTATCCTGGAATGATGTTGACGCAGTTTGGTTGTACTATAGTTCTCGCAGTCTAGCCATTTTTTAGAGAGCTCTCTGTGAGGTTAAGAGAAGGAATTTCATATTTTCGCAACAAAATATTGCCATACAGAGTGGAATAACACGCCTATATCATTTTTATGTGATTGACCGATGCACTCTGCCTTCATCAGACGGTCTCCGATCAGGATCTTTGGGGAGGGTTTGAAGGAGGTCAGGGAACTGTACAAGAAATAGGACAGATTGCTTGGAATTCCTCGAATAAAATTTCAAATCAAAGTAAAGGACGTATGAGCACTGGGACCGTTTTGTTGTTATACTGAGAGTTAACGAGACTGCATCAGCGATTACATTAAATCCAAGGAGTTACCGCTAACCACGCTATTCGAACATGAGGTTGAACATGCGTGTACAGCATACTGCATTAACCCGGCAGGCATGCATGCTTCCACCAGTATGGCTTGAGCAGAAGGCAATCGATCCCGCGTTCAAATAACTGTTTTCGGCTTCACACTGTTCGCGTCATCGCTGTACCGAGAAAGTGCGTACTTTCTTGTTTTGCTCAGTTGAGGATAGCTGCCTAGCACATATTCCCAATTCATGACCAATGCCTGAGTAATATTCAACAAGATTGGGATAGTGTAGACCAACCAGTGTAATCGTACTGCAATGTGTTAGTTATTCATACTCGCCTTCGAGAGTACTATGTGCAACGCGCTTAGATGGAAAACATTTAAGCCTTATCGCACTAGTTTGTTTCACAGGATGAGAAGGATTCAGTGAACCATGCAACTGCTCTTCAGATGATTACCCTGACATTGAAGTGATTCTAACTGCTTTTGAAACAATGATTTTTTTCAACTGGAGTCGAAATCTCATAGTAGAATCTTTCAGAATGCAGGTAAATTTCATGGTATCATCGCCGGTAGTGCGTTCTGACTCCTCTTGCTATCTGGAACTCATGGGGGATCTTTTCCAGACAAGCCCCGCCAAAAATTAACCCCCACCCGAAGAAAAACATTAGAAAAAAGAGGATATGAAATTTATACTTTTAGTTTTTATTGAAGAGGGTGAAATTGGGACATGTCATTAATAATTTGCATGAAAAGATCCGTATTTCGGTACCTTTGCCTCCAAACGAACTCACACAAGTAGCTGTCCACTAAATATCGGTGTGTGCCGCTTTGGCGTTTATTCTATATCTTGTAGACGTGCCAAATAGATTCGATGCTTTATGTATGAGCTCTGGTCTTCGGATCCATAAAGTATGATTGACCGTTTCATGAGTATAATTCATGTCAATAACCGTTTCAATTACTTGGTATGATGCCCACATATCGGAGATGATGATTGAGCCGGGAGCGAAGCAGGCCTGGATTGTGTCCATCAAAGTGGCCACAGTTCGATCTTGCATTGCATACGTGAACTCCTCTTTAGTTTTCCGGCAGATCCCTCCGAAAATCCACTGTTGGAGAGGGACTCGCCCTGCATGGTTTTTACGGCGAGATATTAACGTTTCATCGATCTCGACGTGTAGACCTGGGCTGCTGATAACGAGAGTTGAAAGCGTCAGAAAGTTCATTCAAGGTTTTGCGTCCGAACGGAGGAATTGTTTTGCACAAAATGAGCCTAGATGTGGATAAGGGATTGTTCTCATCAAAAATAGGTCAAGGTTGTGTGCGTCCATCAAACTGGAGCTGGCAAAGAGTGGCGGGGCTTAACTTTTCTCACATGCACTTTTTGCATCAGTGGTTGGGCTTATCTGGAAAAGATCCCTCATGGGAAAAAGTTTGGGCACTTACCACAACCACAAGGCTAGTTTGGAATGACCATATTTAGCTTCTTTCTCGCCGATCATTAGGATAAAACCGCTAATGGTTTCTCCGAAATTAATTTTGCTCTAACTGTATACATCAGAGTTTCCTCGTTGGTAGTGCTCCGTTCGAGGGGGCGAATTTTCAAGGTCACCAAATACTTCGAATCAGGAAACGTGTTTTTGTTTTATATTTCAAATTTCAAACCTGAAAACAGTGAAGAAATGTCTTTTCCCCATGTGAAATACATTTATAAATGTCAACAATGAACTTTTAGGCGTAAAGTGCTAAACGCCTAAATGAGTTGAAGCATTCACAGGCTTCTGACGATTTGACGGAAGTATTCTATGAACCTCCAACTCACTCTTTTAGAACGTAATATCGTTACTGCGACGTCCTTCGGTGCTGATTTATACTGTTTGTAATACTGTTTGTAATACATCGTAATGACGTGTTTACCCAACTTTTACAGAGAATAAATCACCATTATGTCGAAAAAAGGAAGAAACTTCGTAAAGCACATCTACAACTCTAGTTTCCCGAAAACTTGATCAAAATGTCATAAAAAACGTAAAAATTTAGGGAACCGCTAGGAAAGCCAAAATCTTCCGAGCCGTCACGACAAAAAAAACGGAATTGCCTAAACAAGTTTCAAAGGATTGCCGACAGTTTAATGTAATTCTGGAGCTTCCTTAATGTGCTGACATCTTCTATAAGTTCATGAAATGATTCTCTTCGGAAGCCGGACGATTTTCCGTAAAATTTTGATGATCATCTAAAAACAAGACACCTGTCTCACAAGTTGACACTATTATTATCGTTGTTAATTTATCTCCTAAGTTGCTATAGTGATCTGTGTCAGGTTACACCACGTTTTCGACCCGCTATCGGTTATTAACAGTCATCATCATCATCATCATCATCACCATCATCATCATCATCGACAGCGTGACACTGATGCTTCACTGCCGTACAACCATGATTTTTTCGAAAGCCTTATTGTCGAGCACAGTGGCTCCATTTTTGACAGAGAATTCATGTTTCTCAGGCCACCGGGAGTTTAGTACGAAATAACGGTGAAAATTGTATCTAGCACAGTGCATAATGTGAGAATACTTTTGTGCTGTCAGTTTTATGTTCCTCGTGAAGGATATCGAGACTTGTGTTGAACACACACTACTACATAACCACAGTTGTGCTACTGAAAAATACTTTAATGATTGCTGACGATTTACTACGGATTTACTGGATGTGAAGACTTCCAAAATACCTGAAGAAGCAACCTCCAGAACAACTAACATCTCTGAGGTCACTTGGAAACCATATTTTGCATGTTCAACATTTCGGATACTGTCGCATTCATCGGTTCAGGAAGACCGTGACCGCAGATCATTTGCGTTGACTTTGAGTTCGTCTGAAGCGTTCAGTAGGAGAACTATCCGTGGAAAGGTGTCTTCATGACAAACAAATGTGTGTATCCCAAAATAAGTCAGAAATTAGAGTAGAAACCTAGTGAATTACTCATCATTTGGTAACAGTCCTCGCCTTTTTGTCAGCTTACCATAAGGCTAGCTTAGCACGTAGCCAACCGATGGAGCTACCTTCATGATAGGCCTCTATGTTACTTTATTTCTGCAATTTAATACTTGTTTCAGAAAACTAATGTCACGTTACCAGTTAACCTGAAATTTGTCATCGAAGGTATGGAGGAGGTCGGTTCCGAAGGGTTGCATGAACTCCTCAGTGAACTATCACATGGCTTTTTTAAGGTGAGCTGACGTTCTGAGTCATATTTTTTGGCAACCTCTCAGTGAATCTCTAGAAGAATATGAGTAATTCTCCTGTTTACTTTTTCCTCGCCCAAGAGAAAAAGATCTGTAATAAAACCCTGAAATTCCCAGTTCGCGATGCGTTCTTGTCAAAGAGGTATTCCAACGTGGTACGAAAAGTCCACAATATTTAGTAGAATCCCAGCACAACCCAGATGTCCTGAGTGCGGCCGCCGGACTACTCACGATGAGTCGACAAGATTGCCTGTGGTTCGGCTACAAATCGGACACGGGTGTATTCGTTATGGCAAGTTTGCCGACCAGTCATAGTCACGAGGAAGATTTGTATAAACTTGTCAAAAGAAGGCTAGACTGATAGTACGATTTACCCATCTGTAGTTTTTTAGGTGTTCGCAGACCGAACACTAACAACAGTGCATGTCCAAAAGTGCTGGACACCATATCCTAAGTCACGATGAAGAGTTCGTATTCAAACGAAGTACTTCTCAACCGTAAATGTGCACCTATATCAGACCCAGTTCGCGGTAAGTGAATTTGACCTTAGTGGAACTTACAAAATGGCGTAGAGGTGACCCACGGTTCCGGGGGGGCTGCAGGAGAAAGAAATGCATACGAATTCCTCAAAAATGACCACCAAAGCGTATGATGTCTGCTCACTAAGAGTAGGAACCAACATGGTTTGATATGCCTTTCAGCCAATAGTGATTATAATTACCCACCTTAGTCATGTTGGTGAACCTAAGAGACATACTGACGAATGTTCACATTTCATTTACTCTTTCCAGCTGTGAAAATCAGATCATACTGACTACAACAAATGATATCATAGCGATAAGGCTGAACGGGTTCTGATTGCATATATTCGAGTTGTAATTTTCTATCTGTTCAGCACCGTTGTTAACACATTCTTGTACAAACTCCTCACGTTTTGCTTCTCACAGCTAGAGAACAAGTAAGATTTTAACATCCCGTAACCTATGTTTCCTATCGACACTAACTCGGTGGATGAGAGGGACCAGAAGTTCTACATTCAGTGCTGGAAAGTTACTGCACCTTTCAACCTGAGCTTAGCAGGACAAAGTCACTGATCTCCGTAGTTTGAGGTCACTAAGGAAACTCACTTAAACCAGTTCTTTCATGACTGCACAGAGTGGTTCTCAATAGGGACTGATTTCTTCTGGCGAAATTTTAAACACTTCGCATCCACACAGAACGATTAACGTATGCATACAACGAGTTGGTACATTACTACCTACTCCATTTAACTGCGAGTGAGTGCTACAAGATGATGTGCAGGCCCCATGAGTGTCACGGGTTGCTGCCGGACGCACTGAGCTGTCGGTTGTGTCATGACACTTCCTATCGTTGACTGCAACGCCCTTGGAGCGAAACTGAAACGCACCAGCCGAAAACGTCACACACTGCAAAGCCAGCGCAAGTCATGATACAATAGGTCGACACAAATCAATAATGGGATGACCTACCAATCACGTAAAGGGAACAGCCACTTGCTGTTTTGGCTTGTCCAATCATGGGCGCACGTGACCCATGTATCGACTGGATGAGGAGCGAATCAACTCAAGGCATTTATGACATAGAAGTCTGGATGCAAGCTGGGGGGGTTAAGCCAGGTCGGTTTCTATGTGGGGCACATCCTAACACGGATTGCAACACAGTCTCGTTTTCAACAGCAAGCAAGCCAGGTTTAGTTGTTTTGTACATCTACCTTTCAAGCGACAACGCCAATCTTGGTAGGGGGTTGTTTAAGGACCCACTTTTGTTGCAGTGAGAATGCCATAGTTCTTGATTCAAAGATAGCTCTGTTTAGCTGTACCGTTAGATACCCAATGATCCGCCCTAAAGGTGATACTTCGTTCTAAAGCCAAGAATTTACTGCTGGACTGATGGAAAGTCACCCTAAGAAGATTCTGGAAATTGTGGCAGATGTTCTTTCCGCAAATTCCCAAAAATGACCACAGACTCAAGAAAAACAAACACGTCATCTCATGACAGCTGGTTTGGGTCAGGCTACAGCAAAAAATAGTGTTTGAAATGAAAATCAATTTCAATTTCTCTCCGATTATCATACCTGTCACTGTGCGAAAAAAACTGACAACTGACTCGGCCTGAGTTTAATGTCGCCCACAACCCTAGTAACAGTTGACAGCTTGGCTCTAAAAGTTCTATTCCGTTGCTAGAAAGAGAGCTTGGCTACTATCCCCAAAAATACCCTAAGGGGACGATTGATTATGGTAATGTTGTGGACTGCTTCTTCCAGTGCATAGCATGTAAATCCGATCGGCCACAGTCCTTTTGTTCCAAAAGTGACAAAGCGTTTGGAAAAAGTTACCGCTTCCACTCATATACTTATCTGCATGCCAATTTCATATTGATGGAAGACTCTGGTGGCTGATCGGATGGCAGTTGATCTGTTCGCCGAGCTTGGCAATTGGCATGCAAACGTTTCGTCCCCAGTCGAGGAAACATCTTCAGTGCGCAGTTGAATGAGTGGAAGACTCATCCGGAACCTAGAGGATTAGGATTTTATGTGCACATTACTAACTTGAACCCTCGAACGTAGATTAGATCACCCCGCACCGCTATCTCTTATCGTGCAGGTGTATTCCGTCATACGAAAGTTGGGTGCATACAAATTGTAATTTATTAGAAAACAAGCTGATCTTTGTTTTGTACCGCAAGGCATTCTTCAAGCGTACCAGACTAACGGTGCCGGCTTTATCACTCAGGCGGAAACTACGCTAGATAACCGGCAAAAAGAACAACGTAGACCTTATTTCGAAGGACGGGAGAACGCTTCCTTGAGCATTGCATAAACTGACACCAGTCATTCTCTGCTCAGTTGTGTAGCACGTTGCAGCTAGACTGAAATAGCGTTGATAGTACTGAAATCAGTAAGTATTAACAGATTTTTCGTTTGTTTCTCTTAACTTGCTACTTTATATAATTACAAAGATTACCTAGATGTGACACCCTACTCATAAAATTACTGAAGACTCTCAGACAGTCAATGGACGATGGAATATGGTGGCAAAATTATCGCCGCGTGACGCTGTTTGTTCTCTGAATTGTCTGTATAGATTTCAGAATAACTGTTAGGATAAGGTAATCGCACTTTACCCACACGGATGCGTTTCTAAAACGTTTATTGGTAAGAAAACGTACGATTCCGAT